CAAAGAATAAAGCACATTTTGAGCCAAGTTTCTACTTTTAAGAGTTCACATACTAATATATTCTTATAGTTTATATCATTAGTCAAACATGATTTGATTCTTGTCAAAAAGGAAGTCAATTCTTTTCCAGGGATGGATGTGTTTGCGTCTCAATGCTTTGTTGTTGTTTTAAATTTGCAAATGTCTGTACCCAGCTATAGTTTAGAACAGGGTCCTTCCAAGCAATCTCTGCCAAGAATTTATTGTGCAAAAAGAAGGGATAAGATGCTGGCTGAACACTGTCTGGGATAAGAGAAATACGAGACATCCTTATCTCTGCTTTCCAGAAGCTTATACTCCAGCTGAAGTGATAAGATGAAAAATGACTGTAACGAGATAGTAAGCAGTAGTCCAGCGGGAGCTGCCAAGAACCAGCACCACGGCAGGAGGACGTTTTGAACTAGGCTGCTCCAGAAAAGCTTCAGAGAGAAAGTGGGATTTAACTGGACTTGGGTTGGGGAAGGAAGCACCTTTCCCAGGTGAGGGATACGAGCAAAGGTGGGACAGGGCGAGGGGCACAGGTTTGTGTTCATGCCTGGGGACACCCAGGGCCCGAGGTGGGCTGGGCCGTGGAGCTGGAGTAGTAGGGTCTGGGCTTTCTGGCAGTCAGCAAGAAGCCTCCGAGGGTGTGAGGAGAGGTGTCCCACGGTGAGCTCACCTGGGTCCCGTGCACCGCGCTGGCGCGTGGAGAACCGAGAGCAGGGAGAGCCGAGAGGAGGCCCGCAGACCTGCCGGAACTAGTGCAGCAAGAGGAAGGGCTGCCCTGAAGAGGAGGGCACGGTGGGGTGACAGCTCGACTGTCCCGGCAGCGAGGGAGGAATGGGTGACAGGATAGGATGAGCTCCACCGCCTGCAGAGCTGGGAGGGCGCAGCAGCCACGGGGACACCTCAGAGCTGCTGCACAGGCGCCAACAGGTTTCCGGGGGAAGAGAAAAGCTTTCGACCCTGTGCTGCCTAAGTGTGAGCGAGCTGTGTGCAGGCAGTGACTGAAGAGCACACAGACCGACCACTGATGACATTATTAGTGCACAGCTATGGGGGACCCTTGAGTTCCCGAGTGTCCCCTGGTGTTGATGGAGAAGGCTGCCGGGCTGCTTTGTGTGTCTCATTGTGCAGGGGTCAGACCCTCTCTGGAAACCACGCTGATTTTCTCCGATGCCCCTGGCGCGTTTGGGAAGTTCCATAGTTGAGGTGGACAGCTGGCCATCTGCATCATTTCATCCTATTCTCTTCCTAACATGTATCCTCCCCTACGCTGGGTCCCTGTGTTCCAGGGGCGCACACGCCACTCCTGGTTCGGGGAGAGGAGGGCAGCGAGCAACCCCATTGTACTTCTGGGCAAGTAGGTGGGTCAGGAGTGAGCACTGAAGCCCATTGTAGGATCTCTGTGGAGCCACTTGGGGAGCATCTCTCTGGCTCGTTCCCACTGGCCTCGAACCCGAGAGGATGCAGGGCTGAAGCGATGCAGGCGTCCAGCTCCGTGTGGGTCCTGCCCATCAAGTCAGCACGGCCAGGAGCACACAGGTTGTCTCTTAGTAACTCACTTTGAACATGTGTCCACATGAAGAGTGTGGCGCGGAGATGGGCGCATGGCGCGGAGATGGGGTGTGGTCGGAGATGGGGTGTGGTCGGAGATGGAGTGTGGTCGGAGATGGGGTGTGGTCGGAGATAGGGTGTGGTCGGAGATGGGGTGTGGTCGGAGATAGGGTGTGGTCGGAGATAGGGTGTGGTCGGAGATAGGGTGGTGGTCGAGATGGGTGTGGTCGTAGAAGGGTTTGGTCGAGCTGGGGTGTGGTCGAGATGGGTGTGGTCGGAGGAAATAGGGTGTGTTCGGAGATGGGTTGTGGTCGGAGATGGGGTGGGTCGGAGATGGGGTGTGGTCGGAGATGGGGTGTGGTCGAGATGGGCTGCGTGGCGCGGAGATGGGTGTGCGCGGAGATGGGGTTGTGGTCGGAGATGGGTTTGGGGCGAAGAGGGGTGTGGTCGGAGATGGGCGCGTGGCGCGGAGATGGGGTGTGGTCGGAGATGGGGTGTGGTCGGAGATGGGGTGTGGTCGGAGATGGGGTGTGGTCGGAGATGGGCGCGTGGCGCGGAGATGGGGTGTGGTCGGAGATGGGGTGTGGTCGGAGATGGGCGCGTGGTGCGGAGATTAGTGTCTGCACACACCCTGGGCTTCCTAGCAGGCACTGGGAGCACTCCCATCAGAAATGCACCCGTGGGAGCCGCCCAGGCCCTGCGTGTCCCTTCAGTGAGGTGAGTGCCATGGCCGATAAGTGAGGGGCTAGGACTGCGCTCTCCTGCCAGCCAGCCGATGGGCCCAGCCTTGGCAGGCGCTCTAGAGGTCTGTGCTCTCGGGTCCATGCGCCCCTTTCCCAGAGGATGGTGGCAGGGCCCCCCCAGAGTGCCCCTTGCAGGCCAAGCGCTTGCTGCAGACCCGGAAGGCAGTGGAGCTTCGCTGACAAGAATCGGTGCTGCAGGGGAGGAAAATAATCGTCCCTCTGCCTTCCAAGATCTTGGCTGAGACCTCTGTCGTAACAGACGGATTCATAACAGAAAGACAAACTGGAGTTTATTGACACGTGTCCCTCAGGTATACAAGGGAGAAAAAACTGAGTAACTCCCCAAGGTGACTTCAAGTCCAGGATTAAATAGCATTTTAACAGGGAAAGGTAGGCCTGCTAGGGGAGAGTAAATGACTTTCAGGAAAGATGGATGGGCCCGTGGAAGAGATGGGAGATATGATTGTGACAGTTTGTCTGGGTGTGCTGTGGACTTCCAGTCTCTCCTCCCGTGACAAGTCAATCTTCCCTGGCTGACGCAACTCCCCGGCAGGGGATTTATGGCCACTGAATTCCTTCTGGAGGGTTGTCTTTAGCCAGAGAAGGGATTTCAGAGACAGCCTCTCCCTGGATTTGCTGTTTCTCAAGTGCCTACAGCTCAAATCATCAACATAGCAGAGCTGTGTACTTTGGGGTGGTGTGTCCTGATGCCCCACAGACACATTCTGGTATGGCACATCCCGCTGCCCTTTGGCTCCATTCTTCTCCTGTGTGTGTCTGCTTGCTAAGTATATTTTTACACATTTTTCAGGTTTGGGTCCAAGGTTTGCTTCTGTAGATAAACCCCGGGGTAGCAGGGAGTGGGGGAGTACATGCAGTCCCACTTACCCCTCAACAGCTAGTGGTGCTCCTATTACCATAAGAGCCCCACACTTGGGGGACACGGGCCTTGCCCTCAGGGCTGGACTGAGAAGAGAAGGCAACCAAGTCTGATGACACTCACTGACCCTGAACTCACTGTGGCCTTGGGACTCTTTCAGTTAGGGAGGCAGTGTATTCCCTCGTTGCTCAGTCACTTTAAAAAACATCTTTGAAAGGGTCTGACTAGCTTTTCCTGACTACTGCATATTATACGGCTAGAACAATGTGTAGAAACAAAGTAGCACCCCATCCTTCTTGCAGAAATAGAAACAGCACACGTGTCAACTCTATTTAATTCAATCTACTTTATTCCTGGGTTTGCATTACAGATAACACAGATATACCAGTGGACACTGAGAACTAAGGCCTTCTGTGAGTTATTTTTAAAACTTGGTGTTTCGCACCTAATAATCCCTTATAAAATAAATTACCAAAACCAAGACTCTCTTCTGAAATAAAAATTCAAGGTTGATACCAGACAACATTAGGGCCATCTCTAATCGGAAGGGCACGCTGTGACAAGACCATCTGTGTTCTCTGCAGCGTCAAGAGCAGCGCTCAGGCCCGCGCAGCCTCCGCACCAGCTCGGCCCCAGACGGCATCACCAAGCAGTGTTCCCACAGTGCAGCAGCGTTTATGAACCACTCCCAGGGGCAGCGGAGAGACTTTACCTAAGAAACACATTGCAGAATTCTTGGAACAAGAAAAAGAAAGGGGCCTGTAACTAAGGCACTGGAAGCACATTATTTATATAAAGAAATGTAAACAATACCAACAGGCTCCCTCCGTCAGTCTCTTGTGACAGTGCAGGGGGCGTGGCGGCTGCCAGAGCTTGACGTCCAGGTGGAACGAGCAAGTCTCCCTTGCGCCAGAATCCAGTCTTGGCTCCTATGCACGGTTTTTGACGTGGCGCTGTGGAATTAACTAATTTCCAAGTGGAAACGGTTCTTCCCCCCAATCTATGTTTAATAGTGTAACAAACAAGGAAGGGTTTTATTAGGACGCTAACATTTATTTTTCTATTAGTCTACCATGTCCTTCCACTGCCTTTCATAATTCCTTTGGCTGTGTCGTCAGATTCCCGGTGGAGAGACCTGTGATCTTCCTCGTGGGCTCCTGTCTGCAATGTAATGGTTCATGTCCTATATAAACCACACTCCACTGAAAACGTTTCCGAATGGTAAAGGTTTTAACAGTTGAACGTGCAGCACTGTGGACATTTCAAAGTCCACTGAGCTGACCTTCAAAGGCCTGCAGGGAGTGACGCATGTCCAGCAGCCGCTCTGCGTCCACAGTGACAGTGAGGGAGGGGTAAAGGGGCTGCTCCCGAGGCCAACCATAACACGGAAGCTAAATGAGTGTGTGCTTGGCATTTTCTTATCGACTTCAGATGGCTCCAAGTTCCAGATCATAAACCATATATTTAATATATATTTTTTAAATAAGAGAAGAAAAATACAAACATGTAGGGAAACACAAATAAGCAACTTTTGTCTTTCTGAAGTTATTTCTAAGTCTTACAGGAAATACATTTTCTGTATTCCTCAGTTTTCGTGCTTACGAATTTTGGGTAGGTTAAAAGCAGTTTGCATTTTATCTTAAACATGTTTTTTTTTTTGTTTTTTTTTTTTAATGATCAAAAACGTGTTTACAAAGGCGAGCAGAGCTTTCCCTTCCCAGTTCAGTAGAGCATGTGCACCGTGGGGGCGGGGAGCTGAGACAGGTGGGGGGCGGGGCTGCAGCGTGAACACCTGAGGGGTAGGAAGCCAGCTTTTCTCCCACACCCAGGACAAATACAATCCTGATTGTTAAGACTATTTCTGTGTTTCCAAATATAACCAAAGGAAGCCGGAGAGAAACCCAAATTAGAAACCTTTATTAGGATAAAAATTAAAATAAAAAAATACCCTAAAAGCTATATACAGCTGGCTCTGCAGCAGACGGCCGTCACGACTAATGAGGAGCTCCTGGTGGAGCCAACAGCCTGCACAGCAGCTACACGCCGGCTGCTGTCTGGGCAGCAGCACGCTCGTCCTCTTCGAACGAGGACGGGGTGTCCAGAGCCGGGCCGCAACAGTGCTTTCTGCAGGCGCTGGGCGAGCTGAGCGCACCGTGTGCTTCCCTCTCGCGGCGGTGCACGTTTCCGTTGCCGGGCAAAGCCGCTGAGATGTAATGAAGGGGAGGCATTCATGCCAAAAGGGCACATGGAGCAATAAAGAGCTTCTGAGGCTGGCTACAGGCAGGAGTCAAGCTGACAGGTTTGCTAACAGCTAAAGACTTAATGGCCTCAGATTTTCTGCTCTAACCAGCATCCTCATTACATGACTGAAAAAGCAGTGGCGGCTTCTGTGGAGTGGAAACAAGGGCCTCGTGTCTTTCATGCCTCGGGAGGTTGGTGCTTTGGGTTTGCTTGGTTTCCATCGACTCCAAATGACTGGAATATTTAGGTGAACAATTGGTCAAAATTGGGTTTAAATTTTACCACTGAAAGAACAAGCCTAGGACTAAAAATGAGAGAGATCCCTCCCTTCTCAGCTAAAAAAAAGGATCCATTTTTGTTATTTTGGTTTTAAGAGTAGAACTTGTCAAGGCTACTTGGGTTGAGTGATTTAGGGTAAACCATTACTGGCCTGTCTGCAAGCGTTTTGTTGTCATTTTAATGGCAAAAGTGAGAGACCCATGCACATGCAGAAAATACACTAACCTTCCTTTTTGGGGCAGGTTATAAAAAAATATTTCAAAAGAGACAGCTTCAAAGGAGAGTTTGTGACTGCAGTAACAGAATATCCTATGCTTTCCTTTAAAAAAGTTACTTTTTACTGTTTCTAACACAGAAGGCGCTACACCTGTCGACATGCTGTGACGAAACCAGCACTAAGCATGCAAGATTAAGTAGAAGTGGAGAACTAAGCTGTATAATTCCTATCACTAAAAATTCAAACTAAGGGTTCTAAGTGGAGAGCCTGTGGCTGCCCGAGACAGTCCAAGTCTTATTTTCCATGTAAGGAGAGGCCACGGGTAGTCTTCTGATGCCGAGGTCAGCGCAAGGCTAGATACCAAGATCAGATGAATAAGGAAGGGCTTCCTATCAGAATGTTTGGCCGGTTTAAAGACAAGAGATTTCGGTCTTCTGGCCTCAAGGAAGGATGCAGTGGTCTGATGGGCATGGACAGGAGTCGGAGGGAGGGAGCCAGGAGGAAGTGGCAGCAGCGGGGTGGGGCCAGGTCATAGGCCCCAGAGCCCCCTCTTGTCTGGGGGTTGTTAGAAAACAGGCTGAGCCTCTGAGAAGACCCTGTGTGCACCTTGTCTGTGAACAGCCTGATGACTGTTTAAATATTCCGGCCGAGTTAGCCCACAGCAATTGCTCCCTGCTATGCATATTGAAATTACATTCAAAGATTAAAAAAAAATAGTGTGTATAGTAATATTTTCCCACAAAACTAGGCGCAAAATACCTTTAACAAATAATGATGGTAGTAAGAAATATTTGACATTGTCATGCAAAAGCACATCTCAGTTTACAAAGGCTTACCACATTTCCCAAATATTTCCTAGGTTGTTACACGGTGGACCTTACCATCTTACTCGTCTCTCTTTGCATTTGAATGTGACTGTTTGTGTAGAAAACGGTAGCATGCAAGTTCCATGACCTCCAGCCCACCAAATACTCGCTCCTGCAGTACGAAGATGACAATGGTGATTATAAAATACCACCGGACAAGACTGTACAAATATATGAGGAGGCACATTGCAGGGCTGAACAGGGTCCAGTACAGTATGGAGAGAAATTTGACCACCAGGACCCTGAGCTCAGACTTGCAAGGTGGCACTGCAGTCTGCCCGGTGAAGCAGAAATCCCTCTCCCCGCGGTAGAAGCAGCGCAGCCTCTCTTCCTTCTCCTCCCACCGCTTGTGGCACCAGAGCTGCAGGTCCTCCTTGGACGTGGGGAGGCTGTCTATAGGGTAGCGGTGCACGTGGAAGTAGATCTCTTTGGGGAAGTCCCCGCGGAGGAGGTGCCTCTCTGTCTGAGGAATGTTGTGAGGGTATGCCACCGTGATGTCATGGACAGCATCGAGGTTCCTTCCTAGGTTTGGAAAAGGTGAGAGGACAGACTGAGTCATATCAGTTTCACAGTGCGCGGCAGAGCCAAACCCAGTCACAGCAGAGTGAACCATGAGGGACACAGGGCTGTAACTACTGCTGTTCCCGGGCATTTGGTCAATATTTACCAGTCATGTTTGGTTTTTCATCTGCTTGCTAATTACCACAGAAACCTTTAGAAGAAAATTATCTTCATTCATAGAAACAGTAATTTACATTCTAGAACTAAATGTTAGTCAGATTGAGACAGGAATAAAAGGGCCCAGGACCAGCCCTTTCACACCAATAGGTCTTGCTGCTTTGATGCCTCCCATTAATATACCCTTCTCGCCCAGCCGGTGTGGATCAGTGGCTGTGTGGATCAGTGGCTTGAGCATCATCCCCTGGACTGAGAGCTCCTGGTTTGATTCCCAGTCAGGTCACATGCCCAGATTTCAGGCTCGATCCCCAGTACGGGGCATGAAGGAGGCAGCAGATTGATGTTCTCGCCCATATAGATGTTTCTCTCTCTCCCTTCCTCTCTCTCTAATAAATCAATAAAAACATTTTTTAAAAAAATATACCCTTCTGCTCGGCCGGTGTGGCTCAGTGGTTAAGCGTTGACCCATGCACCAAGAGATCACTGGTTCGATTCCCAGTCAAGACACATGCCCAGGTTGTGGGCCTGATCCCCAGTAGGGGGCATGTGAGAGGCGGCCAATTGATGTTCTTGCTCATTGACATTTTTATCTCTCTCTCCCTCTCACTTTCTCTCAAATCAATAAAGAAAAAAAATTGTTTTTTTTTTAATACACCCTTCTCTCCAAATAAAACCCAAACTTTCCACCTTTAACCCAATATTACCATGACAGATACTGGAAAGAAAATCTCAGAATCAGACTCGATAAAGTGGTCAGAAACCCATGAAAACTACCATACGACTTTTTATTTTTAAAGACATCAAGTCTGAGTGAAACCCTGACCTGGGACTGCCATCGTCCTTAGCGTTCTCATGATCAGTTACTCTGGGATTAGTGGTTTCAGCAAAGTCATATGCTAGATGCTGGAGGTAGAGAGATGAGTAAAACAAGGGCCCTAACCTCATGAGTTTGCAGCAGAACCAGGGAGACTGGCACACAGATGCCCTAGACCAGAGGGCACCTGTGAGGGAGGGACAGGACGGGAGGGTGCGGAGGGAGCCTCTGGGCGTGACAAGCAGGCTGGAGGCTCACAGCAAAGGCTCACTGTCAAACGGGAGAATCTGAACTCAGTTCTGAAGGTGGCAGAGAAGCACCCAAAGTGGTGGAGAACCACTTCAGGATTTTTAACAGAAGGGATCAGGAGGTTTCATTGTAGCAAGAATTACCTTGAGGGTAATGACAGGAATGGTGTGGAGAGCACCAAAGGCCAGAGAGCTGGGAAGAGTAATCTGATGGTCATTACAAGGAAAGAAAGGCAAGAAATGAAGAGAAGGTAGGGGCCAAAGGAAGAGACCTGTCCAACAAAGTTACAAGGAAGAACTGATGTCATCGAAGAGACTGGCTCCAGAGGGGAGAGGGTGGCTTCAGTGGTTGGAGGCCACAGGACAAAGCTTTCAATAGCTGTCAAGAGGTAACACATTCACCGTTCTAGGACAGGCCTGTTGACCACTCGTCTTGTTAGCTGTAGCGGGAATTTACACACGGGAAGGCGGGTGGTCTGATCAAACATGCCAACGAGGAAGACTTCTTGCACTGTTGCACTGAACACGATCCTCAACGAGGACAGTAACACAGTCTTACTTTAACTTGCCTGCATTAAAAATCAAGCAACCTTTTGTCTATGTAGCATTAACCCCACCATCCTATTCCATAATACATCCAACTTCTCCTTGACTCTACAAACTAATATTTTAGTACACCATGAACCCACGGACCCCAGGGCCCCTTCCTTCGTGCCCACCAACCTCAACCATAACCGTGTTCTGGTTGCCTCACCTCCACTCCATCCACCCTTCCCCACTTTCTCTCACGAGGAAATACGGCATCTTCCCTCTGTCCCTTGTCACGCCACTTAGCCTCTCACTCAGAACTGAGTCCAAATTTCATTTACTTTCAAAACTCCTCTGCCATCAGCGTTTCTGCTTCCACCTTGGCTACACAATTCTCCTCTGTCAGGGTGACTGGTGTCACCAGCCCCCTCGTTGGCGGGCACGACGGTCTCCTCCCCGGGCAGCCCCGCCATCCTCCCCTCCGGCCCTCTGCACCCTTCTGGGAGCTCATCTGTGTGCGCTGCCAGCGCGTGCCAGCCCTGCTCCTCCCAGCCCTGCTCCTCCCAGCCCTCCCCCTCCCAGCCCTGCTCCTCCCAGCCCTGCTCCTGCCAGCCCTGCTCCTGCCAGCCCTGCCCCTGCCAGCCCTGCCCCTCCCAGCCCTCTTCCTCCCAGCCCTCCTCCTCCCAGCCCTCTTCCTCCCAGCCCTGCTCCTCCCAGCCCTGCTCCTCCCAGCCCTGCTCCTCCCAGCCCTCCTCCTCCCAGCCCTCTTCCTCCCAGCCCTGCTCCTCCCAGCCCTGCTCCTCCCAGCCCTCCTCCTCCCAGCCCTCTTCCTCCCAGCCCTGCTCCTCCCAGCCCTGCTCCTCCCAGCCCTCCTCCTCCCAGCCCTGCTCCTCCCAGCCCTGCTCCTCCCAGCGGCTCTCAGTGCTCACCGAGAAAGTCCAGTCAGGGATTGCAACAAATCGGTATCAAAGTGGTATGTACTATGCTAGTAAGAAACCAAACTGCCCCCTGCTTTCTGCTTCCTTCTTGACAACCTGCGTGTGTACATGTACACACGTGTCTGTTCAATATATAAATAGCAATTTTTGAGACAGTGATGGTAACACAGAAATGTTCCTAAGTGAAACATTCCAGATTCGATCCAGTGCAGAGCATGGAGGCTGTGGAGGCAGACTGCCGGGTTTGAGCACTAGCTCTGCCACTTTGCGACTGAGTCACTGAATCCCTCTGTGGCTGGCTGAGTTCCTACAGCTATAAACTACCTCACAGGGCTGTGAGGGTTAAATCAGAGAATGTATATAAATACATAAAATGGGATCCGATACATAGTAAGTGCTCAATAAATGCTAGCAGCTGCTGGTGTTACTGAATCACAATGTTAGTATGCTAGGCTCTAACCTGCCATCTCTGCCTTAGCTCCTGGGAGTCCATGGGTGCCAGGATGGTATTTGTGGGGGGAACTGCATTCGAATACCCTCCCTAGACCACCTTCCATGGTCTACCTGGGCCCTGAAGATGTCCATCTATTTATATGATGAACAAGAGCAACACTGTGATGTTAGAAATGAAAACAGACCAAGTGAAAAAGGAGCAGCAGGGTGGAGGGGAAGAAAGTTAGTTTTCCGTTGTCGTCGTTTCTCTCAGCTGCACTGGATCTTGAAGCTTCACAGAAATTCAGAAATGCATTCACACCAGAGCCAAAGAGGAGTGACTGGGAAAAGGCTTACAGGTGGAGGGAGTTAGTCAACTGTCTTGTAACTTTTAAACTTTACATGAGGTAAATAAAGGTCTCCAGACAACACAAAGCCACAGGTAACTGCTTACTGCTAGAAGAGTTTACTTCTTACATCATCCTAGGAAGACCTCCTGGCCCCATGGACTCCAGCCCAGGGAGCCATTACCCCCCACAAGTAGCTTCCTCCTAGGAGGGTAACAGGAAAGGGGTTAGCATGGCTGGCGGGGCTTGGTTCATATTTAAGTGACAATAATGTAATCAATATTCAAAAGTTGAGATGTGCCTTTATTTCATTTACCAATATATAATGGAATTAAAATAATGCAATAATAGATTAAAAGAGAAGTTTCTGCAACTGCAAAGCATTTATACTGTCTTTAAATCATTCAGTATGAAACTAATAGATTTAAATATGCGAATCAACTGGCTGCCATCAATAAAAGCCTTTTAAAAAATTTTCATTGCTCTGCAGTCTTTAAATTATAAATTTAAATGCTGTCTAGCCACTTGTCACCTGCTCATATGGGGCTTGAAAATGGAACTGTTCTGTTTCCAATGTGGTGTCTACTGGAAAGCTCCCTATTTTACTACCAATCTGTAAAGCTAAGTTCTGTTAGAACTATGCTCACTTGGGCCCACAGAATTTTCTTTTTCCCCTGGAAGACCAGAACACACTCTTGCTCAATATTTCAAATCTTATTTTTTGTCTGACTGAAACTGAGGGGATTTTTAATGCTTTAGTCATGTTTAATTAACCAACTGAAGTTTAAAAGATATGACTAAAATTTGCAAATATAATTACAGAAGGGGGTGTCTCTGAGCAATCCAGTTGAGCCCATGATTATTAGAAGAGTCCTGCCTGATATGAAAAGCTCACTGGGGATGGGAGAGAACAAATATGTACACATTTGCATGTTTCTAATGAAAGAACTGAGTGAAGAAATCTGGTTTGCCCATGGCTGCTAAAGATTAGATCCAAGCCCTGGTCGGTTTGGCTCAGCGGTTAGAGCTTTGGCCTGCGGTCCTGAGAGACCCGGGTTCAGTTCCCCCTAAGGGTGCGTACCTCGGTTGCAGTTTGTCCCCGGCCCTGGTCGGTTGTGCGGGTGGCAGCCACTCGATGTGTCCCTTCACATCGATGTTTCTCTCTCTCTCTCTGTTCCTCTCTTTCCCTCCCTCTCTACCTGAACAAAAAATGGAAAAATGTCCTCGGGGGTGAGAATTAAAAAAAAAAAAAAAAAAGATTAGATCCAATTATATACATAGTCCAATGGCAGAATAATAGAAATATAAGCTTTTTTATTTTTTATCCCAGTGATCTATCTATAAGCTTTGATAACTAACATTTTTCTTTTTCCCTATTCCATAATTAAATGTATGCTGAATATAAATGTAACTTATTTTGGATCTCATTTTACTACCTGCTCTAAAAATCAAAAATTCTAAGTCTATGTTCTACTAGCCACATCAAAATCCATAAATCTAACTACATATATTAGAGCGTTTTAGATGAAGCAGCTTG